GGAATAGAAAAACAGCAGGAAGAATAGATGACAAACACAGTTAACTTCTGAGCAATGGGTCCAGGAGAAGGCAGATAAGGGCTCTCAAATTTTTCACTTTATACATTTCTGTGATCTGCATTTTTTAAAAGCTGGTATTTCTTTTATAATTAAAGGTAAATACAAACCACTCCTCATCCTCTTCATCCTCGTAACCACCCCCCAAAGTGTGCAAAGGGCTGAGAAGGCAAGACCTCTTTCTGGAGGAATCGGCCTTCTGATTAATTTCCACTTCCTCTGAGAGGCAGGCACCTGTGGCCTCTCCGCCGCCCCGGGGGGAATCCCAGGCTCCAGTCTCCGTCCTCAGTGGCACGGGGGACAGACCTCTGGCGGGACTTCCCCCATCCGTGGCCCTGCCTTAGCAGGCCCTCTCTGCCCTCCTGTAGTCCGCCCTGCCCCTAACCCCTGCAGCTGGGGGAGGAAGGAGGGTGGGCTGGGAGGGAGGGAGGGAGGTGGGGTGGGGTGAGGAGGCGGTGAGGTGCTCCTGCCTAGGGCCAGACCTGGGTTCAGAGCCCAGCCTCTTCACCAGCTTTGTGACCCTGAGCAAGTGGCAGAGCCTCTCCAAGCCTCGGTCCCTCCTTCTGAAAGCGGGGGTCACAGTGCCAACCTCCGCGTAGTTGTGAGGTTTCAATGGCTCACGTAAGTGCTCGATAAATAGTAACAGCTGCTTCCCTGTTACTGTGCTTTCTGCCTGGCGTGTGACCTCATTTCCAAGCAGCGGCTTCCCAGGGCAAAAGAACATCGTTCTAGCGGCTCCTGTGGAATGCCCGGGCACTTCAGGCTCCGACGGGAAAGGCCCAGGGCTGAGCTGTGGCATTACAGGGAAGGAGTCTATGTGGCTGGAAGATTGTCCTCCTCCGGGACGGAGTGAGTTCTGTGTAGTGGCCACCAGATGTCGGCACCGAGCCACGCCAGGAACCGGGGCGCTGGTGAACTACCTGGCTTGGTAGGCGCTCACCTTAGCTCTCAGCTGCCTTCAGAGGAAGGAACCCCACCCCCTTTTATATGAGGGAGCCGGGCCACAGGTGGAAGGACTTGGCCGGAGGTAAAACTGCTAGGAAGTGGCACAGCCCAAATGTGATCATGAGCAGTCCAGCTGCAGTCTCTGCTCTCACCATAAACAAGACAAAGACAGACATTTGCGGTTTGCTGGATCCCTTTGGCTGCATTAAAGAGGGGACCATAGCACTTGGCGCACCAGCAGTCATCACTCACTTTCCCTGACAGCGCGCTACAAGGATGCAATTCCCAGATCCAGCTCCATGAGCTGTTACGTGTGTGTTGTAAGCTCATGAAGTCAGAACTTTTGACGTTTCTCACCCTTAGACAGTGGCACCCGGCAGAGTGCTGACACATAGTAGGCGTACAATAAAGATGCCAATGAGTAAATGAAGCGCACGCATTGAGCATGTGGACTCTGGCACCAGGTTGCCGGGTTCAAATTCCAATTCTACAGGAGCTATGTTACCTGGGACGTTACTGAACACCCAGGTGCTTCGTCTGTAAATTGGAGGTAATAATGATAGTACCTCCGTCAGAGGGTGTTGTATTAAATGAGTGAATGTAGAACAGTGCCTGGCAGACACTCTGATAGCTACTACATTCCTTTTAAAAATATTTTTAATTGATCTTTTTAAGAGTCTCATGCTCTACCGACTGAGCTAGCCGGGCACCCATTAATTGATCTTTTTAGAGGGACAGAAAAATTGATGTGATGACAAGACATCGATCAACTGCCTCCTGCACACCCCCGGCTGGGGATGAAGCCCACAACCTGGGCGTGTGTCCTGACTGGGAATCAAACCAGCAACCTTTCGGTGCACAGGATGACACTCACCCAACTGAGCCACACGGGCCAGGGAGCCACTATAGTCTTATATGTGTTTGCACCGTATGAGATCCTCAGTAGGGCCCAGGTTCCCAACATCCCCATGTAGCAAATTGCCCTTTTCAAGGGAAGTAGATGTGGCAGATTTAAAAAACAAACCAGCCCAAAACAGTGTCTCCTGACCCACTTGCTTCTCTACCTAGAGTCTAGGTCCTAGAACTTTGCCACTTCACCATGGAGGGAAGTCTAACCCTCCTCTCCTGGCATCTGGGGGCGTATGTCTCTTTCCTGATGGAATGCAGCTGAAACAAAGCTGTGTGACACCCTGGCTAGGTCTTAAAGGGCAATGCGTGTCCACTTTGTCCACTGGAACACTCCCCTTGGGAGCCCTGAACCACCGAGTAAGAAGTTTGCTGAGCCTGAGGCCACCTTGCGCTGAGGTAGCCCAAGGCCACGTGCTTGGCGAGGCTGATAGTCCCAGCTGAGGTCCCAGCCAACAGCCAGCAGGTACCACCAGAATGAAGAGACACCTCCAAGTGATCTGAGCCTCGGAGTCGCCCCCAGGCTTTCCAGTCCTCCTAGCTAAGGCCCAGACATTGTGGGACAGAGGGGAGCCCTCACCCCACACCCCACCCCTCACTATTCTAAATTCCTAACCAGCTCTAGCCGGTTTGGCTCAGTGGATGGAGTGTCGGCCTGCCGACTGAAGGGTCCCGGGTTCAATTCTGGTCAAGGGCATGTACCTCGTTGCAGGCTCCTCCCCAGCCTGGGCCGTGGTTTCTCACATCAATGTTTCTGTCTTTCCCACTCCCGCTCTCTCTAAAAAAATCAATGGAAAAATATCCTCGGGTGAGGATTAACAAACTAACAAAACATTCCTAAACCAGAGAATTAGGAGAATAGTACAGTGGTGGCTGTATTATGCCACTGAGTTTGGTTATATGCTGTTCAGTAGTAACAGGAACAGCAAATAAGATGACTAGATTGTAAACATGTTATATACTGAACATAGCACTTAGTTTGGGGATACATTCTGAGAAATGTGTTGTCAGATTTCATTGTGCGAACTTTGTAGAGGCACTCACACAAACCTACATGGTACAGCCCCCTACACACCTGGGCTGTGTGGTGTACCACTGACGTATATGCTGTCATCCACCTAGATGTTGTCGTTATGCAGTGTGTGACTGTGTGTACATCCTGAAGGTCTCTATCCCTCCTAAAAAGACAGCGCCACATCTGCCTCTAAGCATGTGTAAGACCTGCCTGGCTGAGCTCACGCTGCAATGCCTGGTCAGGGCGTATACCCAGGTTGCGGGCTCGATCCCGTGTTAGGCATGTGGGAGGAAGCCAATCAAAGATTCTCTCTTAGCATTGATGTTTCTCTCTCTCTCTCCCTTCCTCTCTAAAATCAATTTTTAAAAATGTATTTACAGCCGAAACCGGTTTGGCTCAATGGATAGAGCGTCGGCCTGTGGACTGGAGGGTCCCCGGTTCGATTCTGGTCAGGGGCATGTACCTGGGTTGCGGGCACATCCCCAGTAGGAGATGTGCAGGAGGCAGCTGATCGGTGTTTCTCTCTCATCAATGTTTCTAACTCTGTCTCTCTCCCTTCCTCTCTGTAAAAAATCAGTAAAATATATTTTAAAAAATGTATTTACAACAGCTGATCGCTTAGTGAGGACTGTCTCCCAGGTCTGCTCCCTCCCCCGCATCTTTCTGAGATCGGAGTCAGATCAGACACCAGCTGTTAGGCATGGACGCCGCTGCTCAAGTCTCAGGCCTCCCTTGGGCTCTAACGCACCCAGGGAAGCCTCCCGGAGTTTAGCTGCTGAGAAAAACCACCATGTGGGAAGCAGGCCATCCACAGGGCCCGCCAGTCTGCTATCTCCTGACGAGATGAAGGGACAGGCCTGATTCTAGGGGCCGACTTAGGATGCTAAAAACCCCACACCAGACCCATGGGCCCACGAAGAACCAAACAGAAAGAGTCAGGCCTGGGAAAAAGCATGAACCAGACCAAGCTGAGCCCATCATTTCAATGTAATCCTCCAAAATGTTTATCGTGAGATACCCGACATTAAGGCATAAATGTTACAATGAACATCCATATCCCCACTGCCCAACTTAGGAAAAAACAATCCATTCAAGTCCCCTGTACCCCACTCCCTACCGCCTCCTCGTCCTTCTCCCAAGTTAATCGTGATCCTAACTTGGATGGTTCTTGTATTATTCTGGAATCTTTTCTTAAAGAGGAAAGAAAGTTAGAAGGAAACAAACTGGATTCGAATGTCAGGCAGCGGCCGCAGACCTTTCCGCGATGGGGGCGGGAATGTCAGGCACTAAGTCTGGAGGAAGACGAGCTTTATTAGGGGAGGAGAGAGGCACTCAGCTGCATGACACAAAGGTCCCAGCAGATCCCACAGGCCCTTCCCTTCTCTGACCCGTCGGGGCAGACGCAGGGCCTCCCGAATCCACGGGATCCATGGACAGTGACGGCGTCAAGGGGCTGCTGCTCCTGTCCCGCCAGCCCAGGAGGCAAGGGCAGGGGCACGGCTGTTCCCACAGACCCATCCACAGGAAGCGGGCGGGCTTTTCAGGAGCCTCGTACAGTACTTTATTCTGACAGATCTGAGCGGAGCGCAGGGCACAGACCGTGGAAGCAGCGCTGGGTGGCAAACGGAATGTCCCTGACTGTGGAGTGCGGTGGGTACGGGGCGGACTAGGCGTTGTATGAAGACGACGACACGTTGCCGCCGTGGCCTGTCCAGTTGGTGTGGATGAACTTTCCTGGGCTGGCTAAGAGCTCGTAGGTGTGAGCCCCAAAGTAGTCCCGCTGAGCCTGGAAAACGAGAAGAGGTTGGTCAGGATCACAAGCAGGTGCCCGACCCGCAGGCACCTGCCCGGTGAGGGCTCCCACCTCCTCCCAGCGCTCACCTGGATCAGGTTGGCTGGCAGCATGTCGTGTCGGTATCCGTCATAGAAGGAGAGAGCAGTGGTGAAGCAGGGCATGGGGATGCCCACCTGGACCCCAGTGCTGATCGCCCGCCGCCAGGAGTCCTGCGCGAGAGACACAACGCCCACGGACAGGTAAGGGCTCCAGCCAAAATGACGACGTTCATCGATGCCCCAGAGCAAAGCCCACCGAACGGAATGCCCACGCCACCGCCCTGGGTGCCCACCTGGCAGCTTTCGACGGCTGACTTAAAGAAGTCGTCCAGCAGCAGGTTCTGGAGTCCTGGGTTTTGGTCAAACGCGTCTTTTATCTTTCCCAGGAATACGCTGAAATAATCGAGAGATGAAGTCAATGATCTTTTTTTCCTTCTTTTTCCCCTTACTAGTAAGTGTTTGATTCCGCAAATTTCAGAGAACAAACAGATAATCCCATTATCCTGATATTCTCTGAGTGAAGAAAATCACTTTCAATTTACGATGACCTGAAATCCTAGTGCCAAGCCTGCAGGCAGAAGGAGGAACTGTCATCGAGGTCTGAGTCTGAACTGCAGTAGGCAAGTGCCCAGCGGAGGGCAGGGGAGGGAAGTTGGAGGCCGACACACACCCTAGAGGGGTGCAAAGTGGCATTTCTCAGCCGGAACACCAGCTGTGAGCTCCATGAGAAGACAGAGCGAAGTCCCAGGAGGCAAGGCTAGAGGGCAGGACGGTGCTCACAGAACTGTTTTAAAAACGTAGTGTAGCCCAGCCAGTGTGACTCAGTGGTTGAGTGTCAACCTATGAACCAGGAGGTCATGGTTTGATTTCTGATTGGGGCACATGCCCGAGTTATGGGCTTGATCCCCAGTAGGGGGGTGTACAGGAGGGAGTCGATCCATGATTCTCTCTCATCATTGATGTTTCTAACTCTCTCTCCCTCTCCCTTCCTCTCTGAAATCAATAAAACACATATAAGAAAAGGCATCGTGTGGACATTCCAGTTAGAACTGCTGTCCAGGAAAAAGTGACGTGACCATCTAAACTGGTCTTGTGGCCAGTGCCCCCGAGGGGACAAAGTGCACCGGCTTCATGGACCCCGTTCATAGCCAGGCCTCCCTTCTCCGCCCGGCAGCCCATGTCCCGCCCCCACGGACCTTCTGATGATGCAGCCCCCCCTCCACATCAGGGCAATGCTGCCATAGTTGAGGGTCCAGCCAAATTCAGTGGCCGCCTGTCTCAGCAGCATAAAGCCTTGAGCGTAAGAGATGATCTTGGACGCATAGAGGGCCTGAAGGACAACACGAAGATTAGAGTTGCAATTAGCAAGGCGGCCGCCGGTGCCTGCTGGCCTTTCCCAGAGCAGGCAGGTCCCGGGACCAGCTGAAATGAGTACACCTCCACCCCGTGGCCTCGGTAAGTTCCCCCCTTCTTCCCCCCGTCCCCCCAAGGGCCACTGCCAGGGACAGGCCCACCTTTCGAATGTCCTCCAGGAACGACGTCTTGTCCCCGCTGAACTGGGTCTTCTGAGGACCCTTCAGCTGTTTGCTGGCCTGAATCCGCTCGTCCTTCAGCGAGGACAAGCATCGGGCAAAGACTGCTTCTCCTGCGTGGGGGAGGGACAACGTATTACCAAGTCCACACCCAACTCAGGGGACACGGACACAGAGTGGAGCAAGAGTTTCAACTGTACTAAGAGCTGAAAGTCTCAGCTTTAGGCCACAATTTCACCCGGACCAGAAAGAACTTTTATCAAAAGCTCTCAACAGTTAATTTCATTAAAACCTCCAAGTGAATCTTCCAACATAAACACAGGTAATTCAACCACGAAGATCAGCATGAAATTCAAAGGGGAGTTTTCAGGAAAAAAAAAAAAAAAGAGGTAAAACCATTATTATTCAGAATTACTGAGGATTGGTCCATGAGTAAAATTTCAATTTCAATTGCAAGGACTTTTATTTAAAAATATATATATGTTCTTATTGATTTCAGAGAGAGGAAGGGAGAGGGAGAAAAAGAAGTATCAGTGATGAGAGAGAATCATTGATCGGCTATCTCATGCACACCCGACACTGGGGATCAAGCCCGCAACTCGGGCATGTACCCTGACCAGGAATCGAACTGTGATCTCCTGGTTCATAGTCAATACTCTACCACTGAGCCACGCCAGTTGGGGCAAGGACTTTAATTTTTAAATGTCACCAAAGACTCAGTTTATGTTGAAGTACTAACTAGCATCAATTTGAAACTACGACTTTAAGAAGTAACACTTACAGACTCACCCTTCAAAAAACTTCGTTTTCTAATTCCTGCACAGGCAGACCCCAGAGACGCCAGACCACCGAGATACGGTGAGCACTGCAATCAAGCGAGGCGTCATCTTTTTGCTGGTGGAGGGGCTTGCCGTCCATTTGTAAAAATTGCAACATCTGCCCTGGCTGGTGTTGCAGTTGTTTGCAGTGTTGTCTCATGCACGAAAAGGTTGTGGGTTCGATTCTCGCTCAGGGCACATACCTGGGCTGTGGATTCGATCCCTGGTTAGGGTGCATACAGAGAAGCAACCAATGGATGTTTCTCTCTCTCCCTTCCTTTCTCTCTAAGATCAATGAACACATACTCAGATGAGGATTAAAAAAAAAACATCTGAAGCGCAATAAAACTGGGCGGGCTTGCCTATAGTTCAGTGTTGAGTGTATCCATGGTAACCATCAAAGTTTCACAATGTTACTTCACTGGCATGAGAAACATTTCAACACAGTATTTTAGTATGAAGACATTTAGAAGCTTCCAACATCATCCCTTATAAAAACAACTTGCTCAACTGACAACTTATACACAGTGAGAGGAAGATGTCTGTCCGCGATCTGCCCCTGCAGTGCCCACGATGACCTAGCACTTGTGAGCGGAAACTTTGAGGAACTGGCGCAAGGAGGTGAGTGTGGCAAAACCCTTCAAGGAGCCCAGGGCTGGCTGGAGGACCGGTGCCCCCATTAGCTCCGGCGCCCCCATTAGCTCCGCAGACAGCGGCACCCACTCAGGGATGGGCCCCGGCCTGCCTTCGACTGGTAGGAAGGGTGCAGTCTCTACAGTGAGGTGAGGATTCCTCCTGAAACTGTCTCTTACATTTGAGTCAGCAATCAATCAACTGCTCCCAGCTACTGCCCCCCGGGTTCCCGCCTCTGGTGTCACTCAGATAAGCTAAAAGCAACCAACTTCCTCTTCCTTCTTCTTCTTTCTTTAATACATTTTATTGTTTTTACAGAGAGGAAGGGAGAGGGACAGAGAGTTAGAAACATCGATGAGAGAGAAACATCATTCAGCTGCCTCCTGCACACCCCCTTCCGGGGATCAAGCTTGCAACCAAGGTACATGCCCTTGACCAGAATCGAACCCCGGGACCTTCAGTCTACGGGCCAACGTTCTATCCACTGAGCCAAACCGGTTAAGGCTCCTCTTCCTTCTATACAGAGGGGGACTAAGCGACCTGCGTCCCTCCTTAACCATGGGTCTTACCACCACAGTCCATGGTGAACCGAGTGGGAAAGTCAGGAATCAAGAGGAAGGAGACGAGCAGGGGGGAGAGGCAGTCTGTCTGCCCGGTGTCTGTACCTGCCACCCGCTCAGAAGCCTCCCGACTGCCCGATCCAGATCAGCCTTTCACTAACATGCCAGGCATGCTGACACCTCGTCCCCAGGGCCATCACATGCCCACCACGCGAGACGAGGGTCCAATCCAAGGCGCACGTACCGATGAGGGTGACGGGCACGCCGTACTCCAGGGCTGAGATGGCAGTCCACTTCCCCGTGCCCTTCTGCCCCGCACTGTCCCTGATCTTGGGCAGCAGGTGAGCGCCGTCGCTGTCTCGGAACTTGAGAATATTGGCTGTGATTTCAATCAGGAACGAGTCTAGCTCTGTCTTATTCCACTCCTCGAACGCCTACGTGCAAGACGTGAGAGAAGAGATTAGCCTCCCGTCTTCCCCTCGGTCAATGTTGACTGAGGCCCACAACCTGCTCACCCAGGCTCACTGGCTCCTGCGTGGCTGGTGCAGCTGAACACTGCGCTCCCACCAGCCGAGGCGGATGCTGACCTGTGATGCCGCCTTTCTGGTCACCCTGCCTCCCCTCAGAACGAGGGCTCCCTCACCCGCTCAGGCGTCTGTACCTGTCCCCTCTCAGAAGCCCTCCCTGGCTGCCGGCTCGGGCCCTACCCCTCCTCACAACAGCATCAGGAACTAGCTTTCTATCCGTATTTAACCACAGCTGCCCGTCTGCCAGCTCCACGGGGCCAGGACTCGTGTGGGTTCTTTCACTATTACATCCCCACCACCCAGAACAGCGCCCAGCATGCAGTGGGCACTCAATGCACATGCTGAAGGAATACGCTAACTATTATGTAAACCAGCTAAATGTGAGCACGGAAAGAAAAGCGCTGTTTCTATGAAAACTGAGTTACATTGTTTTGGAAAGAATAATAAGGGCAAGTCGGTGAAACATGGTGAGCGGGGGTGACACAAATTTAAAGATTAGAAAAGGATGTACCTCCCACCTGGGACAGCGGGAGGCTCAGAGAATCGTGCATGAAACGACAGAGCCCGAAACTCAGGCTGGGTGGCTGTGGCAGGAGCTTCTGGCTCAGGGAGTAGCCATCTTATTTCATAGCCCACAACCGAGGGCTTCCCTTAAATTAGGCCGAGTCCGTCCCGGCTGCCAGGATGCCCGGCAGAGGAGGAATGAGGCAGGCTGTCCTGCCGCTGCGGGAGCGGGCGCACTCACCTGTGCCATCTCGTTGTGCTCCATGCCCAGGACGTCCTTCATCAGGTGGTAGGCCTCGCAGATCAGCTGCATGTCCCCATACTCAATCCCATTGTGCACCATCTTCACAAAGTGCCCTGCTCCCTCGTCTCCCACCTGTTGGGGCCAAGCACCAGGGCGGTCAGAGGGCAGAGGACACACCAGAAAAGCCCATTGAACTCTTCAGCAAGACTCTCTCCCCTCACAGAAAGCAACAAGTGTGAGCAATATTTATAGTATCCTATCCTATATAAAAAAGGCCAATGTGCAAAGCCACCAAACGGTGGAACTGGTCGCTATGACGCGCACTGACCACCAGGGGGCAGATGCTCAATGAAGGAGGAGCACTACTAAGCTGTCAGTTGGACATCCCCTGAGGGCTCCTGGACTGCAAGGGCGCAGGCCGGGCTGAGGGACCACCCCCCCAGTGCATGCATCTTGTTGCACCGGGCCTCTAGTTTTAAAATAAGAATCAATATGTAAAGACTCAATGCAAGATACAATCCAGTCCAATGCTAATTTAAACTAACTCCAAATTCATGCCTCTAAAGCAGCGGCCCTTTGGGGGTCGAACGACCCTTTCAGAGGGGTTACCTAAGACCATCCTGCATATCAGATATTTACATTACAATTAATAACAGTAGCAACATTACAGTTATGAAGTAGCAACGAAAATAATTTTATGGTTGGGTCACAACATGAGGAACTGTATTTAAAGGGCCAGAAGGTTGAGAACCACTGCTCTAAAGAGTTTTCAAAATCCCCAAATTCACTGAAAGCACCTATAGCTCTTAAGCCTGTATGTCTGTTTTTTTTCATTGTTATTAAAAGCTCCCAGTAAGTCTTCCTTTCTCTGAGGTGACCACTCTTCTAACATCTGAAGGCTACAACTTGGCCAGTGGAATCACATACTTTTAAGAAACACACGCATGCGCTGTAGTTGTTTCTAATGGCTGAGAGGTGAAAACGACTTTAGATCCCAGGTCTGGCCCTCAGCCCTGCAAGCACAGAAATGTGCTCTTGCCGGGGCCTCATAGTTGACAAGATACTGATTTTATAACAAAGCTGGGAAGACGTAAAACATCACCACACAGTACATGAATTTATGATGAGAACTTCAGACCATGGATCACAGTGGTCACAAGCGTCAGTCCCATCATCACTCTGTCCCTACAGACAAGCTACTTGGGAAGCCCCGTTACCTGGGACCTGCTTAGTGGGCAAGGAACCAGACGAAGGGAGGGACAGGGCCAAACACTGAATGGCACTGGACTCGTCACACGCACCCATCGCCACGCCGGGCCGTCTGCCCGTGGACCAGACGCCTGGATGAGCAGCAGTCTCTGCTGGGACGACTTCCTCTGTCTGCCCCCACTGCTGACCTACCCCCTCTGATTCTGAAACTGTCTGTGGCCATGAAGTGACATGGCTAGTAACACCTTGCTTCACCCCATCCTTCCTGTAACTTCAAAAATGAAGGGGAGTCCCTGCTCTCTGTGTGCACACCCGCTTCCTAACACCCTGAGACTGAGCCATAAAGCCATGGAACGGCACCCGACGGAATCAAGATCCGTAAGGACAAGTACTGTTTTTTGGTTCCCGATTTTCTGTGTCTACACTGCATTACTGTCACTGTACTTGTATAGTAAGTACTCACTCTGTTGTCAAGGAATGAAAGCTCCCTTCCCAATCCTTCATACTAATGAGAAAATTAGTCCACACTCCTAATCGCAGCCCTGGCCCCTCCTACCCCTAAGTGGAATATGGTTAAACTCAATGAGCACTGGCTACACTATCAGGACCAGTTTCGTACTGTAGCTAAAGTCACCGGCACGGCCAGCCCAGGAGTAAGACTTCCCTCCTTCCTCACAGGCCTCAGACCCTGTTCCGCTTCTACCTTTTCCTGCACATGCAATTAATCTATGCCGGGCCAGCGTGGTTGAGTGTCGGCCTAGGAACCAAGTGGTCACCGGTTCAATTCCCAGTTAAGGCACATGCCCGGGTTGAGGGCTCAATCCTCAGTGGGGTTGGGGGCAGGAGGCAGCCAATTGATGATGTTTCTTTCTCATGGATGTTTCTCGCTCTCTCTATCCCTCTCCCTTCTCTCTAAAAATCAATAAAAACATTTTCTAAATAAAAACTCTAATATAATAAAATTGCTCACACAAGTGCTGATATAAAACGAACGGTATGAGGAGCTAGAGAGACCTCGAGACCATCCAGACCAACCCGTTTCCCAGGTGAGGAGCGGGAGCCCAGGGAGTTCACGGAGAGCCAGGGCTACCACCGGTGTCTCCAGCCTAGTGTTTCCTCATCCGCGTGGACAGAATTCACTTCAGCAGCCACACAAAGTACAGGGAGGAGGGGAGTGTGAGTGTGCCCAGCTGCCTCCACACTCAGGGCAAAAGGCCGGCCACTGCTCAGGCACAGAACACCCACCAGGACAGGAACTCCCCACTTCTGATGTTGACACCCTTCCTCAGCCATGACAAAACATGGCTAAACATCTTACTTCACCCCATTCTTCCTGTTCCTTTTTAAGGAACCCGTCTCTTAGTGACTCGGGGAGGGCTGCGTGTAATATCAACCTCAAGGTTATGAATAGCCCGTCAGATACAAGGACACGTGCAACAGACATGCCTTCCGGGCATCGCTGTGCTAGCGACTTCAGGACTGAGAGCTTTACGCCACAGAGCCAACTGCTGGGACCCAGGCGGCCTGTGCACTTGGTCCTGTCGGCGCCCACGCTGCCGACGGGCGTGGAAGGAGCCCAGCACTTGCCCAGTCACAGCAGGGCTCTCCAGTTCCTACTTTCGCAGCGATGCTCTGGAAGATGGTCTTGATGTGGGGCCTGTGGAAAGAAACCACACAGGTCAGCTGCTGGGAGAGGGGCTGAGGCTCAGATTAAGTACTCGAGGATGCCCAACCCCGACCCTCTCTCTAATGGGCGGTGGAAGCCCACGAAAAAGTAACCAAGTGCCAGGCTCAAGGTAAACCAGTGGGAGGCTGCAGACTGACTGGGCGGCAGCATGGGCAGAGCTGGGCGGAAACCTCCATCGCACTGTCAGGGGCACCGTGGCTCCCCAGCAGCCACACGAACTTCCTGGAGACCCTGTACTAGTCAGGGGCACAGGGACCCCGGGTGTTTCCAAGAGCCACAATCACCCTTCATCCCACGGAAGGCGGAGGCTCCTCACACCTCCCACCGCCCCCAGGACATCACCTCTCCTGCCGCATTTCCTTCCCGTTCTCCTCACCAGTGGCCAACAAAGGGTTTGGTACAGACAAACTCTGACAGGCTGGGACGTTAACGCTCAGGCGAGGGGCTAAGGCGGCTACACCCTGGACCTTAGGCCTCACTGAACGCTCACTGTTGGAGGACAAAGCGCCCCTCTGCCCCCGCCAGCGAGTGAGCCTGCGCCGGAGCCTCTGCTGTCCCCGCGTCCTGCGTGCTGTACTGTCTGCACCCCGAGGGCCACTGGGCCCCGGGAAGGGCTTTCAAGCTTCTGAGAAGCAGGAAGGCCTCGCTTCTAGATTTCACACAGGGAGACCTCAGACTTACTGACCCGAGAGGCAACTTCAAGAACAATCTTCCCCATAAAGCCTTCACCTTTAATGCCTGGTACGGTTCTGGAATATTGACAGCAGCTCACTCGGGAAAGAACATTCCCTCCACAGCTCCCTCAGCAGGACCCTGCCTCCCCTCTCCCTCTCCTGCCCAGGCCTCTGCAGCCTCGGGAGGGGGTTCCCGGTCCACGGCACGCAGAGTCGGTTACCCGCATCTTTTCACCTGGCTTTGCTCTCCTGCTCGCCGCCCCCACCCGTCTTCACCCACTTCTCTTCAGTCCCGAGACCTCCCCCTCGTGGCCACCCCTACCTCTCAGACCCAGCACAGTGAACAGTGAAAACCTTGTTTTTTCCAAGTCAAATAAAACACTCCCACTCCATTCCCAGAGAAAAGAGAGGCCCTGTCAGATTTTTCCATCCCTCACTATTATTAAATCAAGTTATTTTAGGAGCGCCCATCAGTTAAGGAGGCAGATCAGACCCTAAATCCACACAGTGCACAGGACATCCGCTGAGCGGCATCCTTAAAGCCTCTGGCCCTTTAAGTCTACTTAGAACTTCATGGTCAGTCTGGGCAGGAATAACAGGAAAAAGGGGCAGAGGAGGAAGATGCACTATGTTTTGTCAAGACAACAGCATGTGTACACGAGATATCTGCCGCATCTCCCAGCGCCAACGCAGTCACCACGGAAGGGCTCAGGGCTCCACATTCTCAAGTCCAGGCCCCCAGTGCTGAACGCGGGGCGCGCTTGGTACTCACCAGGCGGCTTTGTTCCCTCCGGGCATGAGCGATGGGCCGTACCGGGCGCCGTCCTCTCCGCCACTAACGCCGCTCCCCACAAACAAGATCCCCTTGGCCTTGAGGTTTTGACACCGTCTCTACATGAGAGAAAAATAACTGCTTTACGCTTCCTTAGAGTCAGATGCTCCCAATGGAGGAGTGGAGGGCGACAAGTAAGGAGACCCAACATTTGACATGAAGTGACCCCCGATCTGAGCATCACCGTCAGTGGAGAAATGCGATCACCTCGGTTTGGGAGTCAAAAGAAAACCCAAGGAAGGTGGATAGCTGCGCTCTCCCCACAGGGAGTGACTGAGCCCCACACACTCTTCCGCTCCTGGGAGAGACCTGGGAGGACCAGGCCAGTCGGTGCTGGTTTAGTGCAAGCGGGACGGGCTGCTGCCCTGCACTGAGGCTGGCGGGACTTGACTTCCCCAGCATGAGAGCATCAGCACTGGCCCTCGACCTCGCTGCGTGCTGAGGGGTCACGCGCAGGAGGGCGAGGAGGGGACGCGAACCGTAAGCCCTCGCCTGCGGCATCGAATTACACATGTGGCCAATGAGAGCCTCTTCTGTCAAGCACGTCTGAGCAGAAACAGGCTGACGACGCACCAGAGCCGGTGCCACAGGGAACAGCTGCCCTCAGGTGCAGGGCTGACACCTTTCCCAGAAGGCCCTCCGAGCCTGGGGGAGGCGGGACTGAATACTTACTGTGGTGTCCCTGTATTCAGAGTTGCCCCCATCAACGATGATGTCACCGGTGTCCAACAGCGGGACCTGCAACCAGGCATGAGCATTAGGAGAACCAAAGGCTTATTAGCGAATAGCACGAAACATCCTTAATACACAATCAAAAGGAAGTTTTTCTGAATATCAGAGACAGAGCCCCATGCGATCTCCACAGTCACACACTGCATAACACCACTTCAGTCAACGACGGGCCACATACACTATGGTGGCCCCGTAAGGTTATGTATGACAGAGGGAAAAACTCCTGTCACCTGATGTCATAGCCGTCCTGACATCATAGCACAACTTGTCACTCACTTGCTTGTGCTGATACTGGTGTAAACAGATTTGTGCTGCCAGTCGTATAAAAGTATAGCACATACAATTATGTGTACAGTATACACTTGATAATAAATGACTATGTCACTGGTTTGTATACTTACTGTTCCACACTATCATTATTTTATAATAGACTCTACTTATCAAAAATGTCTGCTGTAAAGAGTACGCTGTTACAGCAGCAGCCCCAGACACTCCTGGCTCCTGTGCTTGATTTGATCTCGTGTTGTTTCGAGCAGTTTGTGCCACACAGACTGGAAGCCTGGGAGCACTAGGCCAGATCACACAGCCCTGGTGTGTGGCAGACTAACCACCGAGGCCTGTGTAAGTGCACTGTGATGTTTGCACAACGATGAAATTGCCCAAGAGCGCATTTCTCAGAATGTATCCCCTTCGTTAAGTGGCACATGGCTGTAATTCTACTCTTGTTAATTAATTTTTATCCAGTCTCTTGTCCTCAGAATTTTACATGTAAGGGATCATTATCACCTGAGGATATGTTGTTACTTACACAGTGCCAATCAAGTTAACCAACACGGAGACATTTAAGCAATTTTTTGTCAGAACTGAGCAGTTCATATTCAGAACCTGAAAGGAGGGGGGGTGGGGGCGGGGAACCTCTTAAGTAAAAAGTGAAACAGCTAAAGAAAAGAGTGAGGAAACTTCTGTCACACTCGCAGCAGCTGGGAGCAGAGCCGGCCTCACCAATTTCTCAATGAAATCATCGACTGCTTGGCCAGCCTTCACCAGCAGTACGATTCGCCGAGGCTTCTTCAGCTTAGAGACCATCTCCTCCAGGGAGTGCGCACCAATCACCTTGGTTCCCTTCGCCTCATTGGCCAGGAAATCATCAACTTTGGAGACAGTCCTGTTAAACGCACAGACCTGCGAGGGCAAAAAGCCGATCAGGAGACTGAGGGCATGCAAGACCTGCATTCAGATCGGGGACCGAGTGACAACGAAATTTCTATCCAGCCCCAGGCTTTGGGAAGGTGGGACCCCCTTTGCCTTTCCCCGCCCAAGTGCTGACTGATCAGCCTAAAGTTCATCTCAGTGGATGAAATGAATACGGGTGTGGCAAAAGTAGGTTTACAGTTCTTCCTCTGGAGAATAATACACTCATCAACAAAATAATAATACAAGGCACGCTCTGTGTTTTCAACAAAATAATCATACAAGAGCACGCTCTGTGTTTCGGGTACTCACAGCTGTGGACCGACTTTTGCCACAGCCTGTAAGTCAGCTACTCGTGGCACCTCAGGCCAGAGTCTAGCTGGTTAGAATGCAAACCTAAGAACCAGCTGGTTCCAGACCCACAGCTTTTGTCACTGATGATCCTTGCATCCGAGTCCGGTTCATATTTGTACCTGAACTTCTCCCTTTCCCGGCCCTGCTGAGGTGACAAAGTTAGAGCTCTACACACCCAGCAAGATTTCTCCTCCTTCAGATCCCGACAGGATCACTCAGGTTGCAAACCTTCCAGAACAGACCAATACATTTAGCAGTGGTACTCAATCTGTGGGTAGCGACCCCTTTGGGGGTCGAACGACCCTTTCACAGGGGTCGCCTAAGACCATCGGAAAACACATATAATTACATATTGCTTTTGTGATTAATCACTATGCTTTAATTATGCTCAATTTGTAACAATGAAAATACATCCTGCATATCAGATATTTACATGACGATTCATAACAGTAGCAAAATTACAATTTATGAAGGAGCAACGAAAATAATGTTATGGTTGGGGGTCACCACAACATGAGGAACTGTATTAAAGGGTCGCGGCACTAGGAAGGTTGAGAACCACTGATTTAGCAGGACTCCTCTTCCTCCGGGACTTGCGGAACTGGCCCCCCCACACCCCCGTCCGTGTAAAGCGCTGCTTCTTCCCTTGCAAAACGGTCACCAGCAGCCACAGCGCGAATGAACATAAAGAGAAATAGGCACCGGGCGACAGGGGAGTCTGCCATCGGCAGGTCACCAGCACTCAGGCTGACGCACACCCAGAACCTGAGAGAGGAGCCCGTGTCCCCTGTGACTTACCACAAAGCCGTGGTCGTTCATGTTCAGAATTAAGTTCTGGCCCATGACGGCCAGTCCAATCAGTGCAATATCAGCTCTGCAAGACCAGAGAGAGGAAGGAGGAAAATGTGTCAGCTCCGCTCAATCCCTTCCAACTCGGGGACCCACGGCTCCAAGCTGCCCTGCCCCGCAACTCCCTTTTGCACTTGGAAACCCAGGCCCGCAACCGGCCTCGGATCCAGAGATCACGCCCACCCGAGCCCTGCGGGGCCTGGAGTCCCCTGAGCTCAACTACACGGGCACGTAGGCGGGTATTCGCAGCCTGTGAGCCCCAGTCCGTCTGCAATGACCGTCCCCGGGCCCCGCCTCCCACGGAGGGGACAGCCCGGCAGGCAGAAACGCGGGCCGTCCAGCCCCCTCCTGCCCAGCCGGCTCGGGCCCTGGTTCC